GTGCAAGAGTAAGTGGGTTGCTGGGAAGGTAGCATCCTCGATTGTGACAGTGGGATCTTCCAACTCTGGTGGTGCTTCTGCAAGCACTTCCCAGGGAATCACCTTGGGCCAGTACGAGTGTTAGCCGATCGTTCTCGTGTTGAAGTGGTTACCTTACCCTCTCCATTTCAAACGATGGCCAAGGTTATTGACCACTTAACCGCCCCACAAACATATCCGGACCAATACTCTGTTCGATGGATGTGTTTGAATTAGAAATTGAGTGATTAGAGAAAGACCCTAGAGACTCATGGGCGATGCTGAACAAAGGTCCAAAAGGTGAACATTTCGTGGAAGAAGTTAATGTAGGTGGCCGAAAGGTTGGCGCCTTCGCAGGCATATGTTCTACACGAAATTTCAGCAGTCGTTCTTGTGTGGATAGGTTGCGCTTAGGGGACCAAGTGCAGGTTTGTAGCATCTACCTTAGCCAACAAGCACTCCATGATAGTTAGAGACTATGTCGAGGACATACTCTGTACCTTCTCCTATGGTGGAGGGGAACTAAGACACAAGATCTCCTTCCTAGTGTGCGACAAGCTGCCATTTGACATGTTGCTATGCATGTACTACCTTGAGGTTGCTAATCCTCAGTTCGATTTGGATAGAAAGGTGATGATCCACAAGTTGCCAGATGGAAGGACCGTTAGGCTGCAAGAGTTCAAGGTTAGCAGACTAGTGGAGAACTATGGTTGCATGTGTGTGTTGTCTTTTTATAACTTCTACAAGCAGAACCGCGAGGAAGGTATGTACCTAGTCTTTGTCTCTATGAAAGGGGAGGCCGTAAAATCACCCCCAGAGAAAGAAGTCGTCGTTGCACAGTATTCAAACCTGTGTGGTAGAAAGGGAGGTCGTCCACGCAATTGAAGTCGTTGTGGGCAGCAAGGTACCTAGAGGGCAAATATACAGGATGTCTCCTGCGGAGTTAGAGGAACTTCGCCGCCAACTCAAGGAGCTCACAGAGAAGGGTTGGATATGGCCAAGTACGTCCCCCTGCGGTGCACCAGTCATTTCTCCCAAAGAAAGGGGGGACCCTAAGGATCAGCATTGACTATAGGGGCCTCAATGCCATCATCGTTAAGAACCCGGAGCCCCTACCACGCATTGACGACCTCTTGAGTAGAGTGCAGGGATGTCAGTACTTCACCAAGATAGATCCGAAGTTCGGATACGGTTGTTCTATGATTTATGGATTTACAGGAGTGACCAATTTTGAAGAATTAGCCAAAATTTTGACTGGTTATGAAATGACTTTTTTTGGGACTCAATCGAGTGGTATTTTCATGGGAATTTTATTTATTGCTGTAGGTTTTTTATGGAAAATAACTGCAGTTCCTTTTCATATGTGGGCACCTGATGTATACGAGGGTTCTCCTACTTTTGTCACAACTTTCTTTTCTATAACACCATCAGATTGCAATTAGACCCGAGGATTAGCACAAAACTGTTTTCCAAACCAGGTACAGTTTGTACAAGTTTGTGGTAACACCCTTTGGTCTATACAATGCTCCTGGGACATTCCAGCATGCAATGAACCGGATCTTTCATGACTACTTAGACAAGTTTATCATTGTGTACCTCGACGATATCCTTATCTTTAGTTGGATTGTAGAGGAGCACGCTGAGCACGTGAAAACTGTGCTAGGGCTCCTAAGACAGCACCAGTACAGGTATAACTTGGAAAAATGCAAATTCGGTTGCACCAAGATCTTGCACTTGGGTCATGAGATTTTTGTGGAGGCTCTGAGGCCGGATGATGCGAAAGTGGCCAACATACGTAACTGGCCCAGACCTCAGTCTGCGACTGAGGTGAGGTTATTCTTGGGGATGACGGGCTACCACCGCCCGTTTGCGAAAAATTGTAGTGCTATGGCTTCCCCTCTAACCGACCTCATGGGCCTTGACACTAAATGGAAGTGGACCGAAGAGTGTGAGGCAGCGTTCAAGAGATTGAAGTCTGCCCTCACGCACTATGAGGTCCTCAAGCTTCCAGATCCTGAACTGCCTTTCGTTGTGACCACAAACGCCAACCAATACAGCATAGGCGCAATCCTTGCGCAGGAGGGCAAAACGTTTAGGCCGATGGAGTATATGAGCAAAAATATGTCATCTCATAAACTAGTTAAGTCCACATATGGGCGAGAGCTCTATGCCCTCTAAAGAGCGCTGGTCCATTAGAGGCACTACCTCCTAGGCAGGTTCTTCTTTGTGAGATCTGATCACGAGACCGTGCTGGATGAAAACACAGCTTGTGCTCTTTGCAGCACTCAAGAGGTGGATGAAGTCATGAATATGTACGACTTCAAGCTCGACCCTCTGAACGGAGAGCATAACAAGGTGGTTGACGCCTTGTCATGTAGGGCAGACTATCTAGTTGCACTAGTGACTGAGTTCGGCATTTCAAACGATGTAACTCCATCAATGGTGGAAGCCTATCAAGAGGATCCGGTAATGTCTGAGATCATATGCAAACTTGTGGCTAAGGACAAGGCAACCTCCGACGAGTTTGTGCTGGTTGATGGCTTGTTGTTCCTTGCGAAGGCTAGGAATAAACGTTTGTGTATTCCGTGTAGAGAGCCTTTGCGTACTTTATTTTAGGTGCGTGTCATGATGCAACCGGACATTTCGGTTATAAAAAGACAGCAACAAATTTACTGCAGCGTTTTTAGTTTCCCGCAATGATGGATGATGCAATGAAGTATGCAGAGACTTGCCAGGTTTGTCAATGTGGCAAGCCAAGGACGCAGGCACCACTTGAGCTTATCAAGCCCTTGCCTATCCCTGCTGGTCCTGGTCAGAGTGGGCCCATGGACTTCATGGATACTCTTGTGACCAGCAAGAGCGGTAAACATCACATCTTCGTCATTGTGGACAGGTCTAGTAAGTATGTTAGACTATCAGAGTGGGTCCATGGACTTCATGGATACTCTTGTGACCAGCAAGGGGTGTAAACGTCACATCTTCATCATTGTGGACAGGTTTAGTAAGTATGCCAGACTAATCGCCCTGCCGGAGACAGCTAGGACTGACCACGTCATCAAGCTGTTCATGGACAACTGGGTACGTGACTTCGGTCTCCCGAAGTCCATCGTTAGTGACAGGGATGTTAGATTCACTAGCAAACTGTAGCAAATCACTGCTCAACAGATGGGAACCCAACTGCCAATGACATCAGCAAATCACCTTGAGTCAAATGGCCAAGATGAGCAGATGAACCGGGTAGTGCAGCATCTGCTTCGGCATTATATTAAGCCAAGTAAGAATGACTGGGATGAAATCATGAAATAATACCTCTCATCGCCAGTCTGTAGAACAATGATGTGCACAGCACTGCCGGCATGACTCCCAACCAATTACATCTTGGTTGGAAGCCCAGATCTGCTCTTGACTTCTGTTGCCCAAGAACCGGCCCACTGCAGCGCCAGGCAGCATAGAATTTGTTGTCAAATATGAGCAGCTGCTGCAAGAGGCTGTAGAGCATATCAAGAGGGGTCAGGATGCCATGGTGGCATCTGAGAATAGACACAGACGGCCATCTTCCTTTCAGGTAGGGGACAGAGTATGGGTTAAATCATCTGAACTGGGTCAGGAATTGGGGATATCTAGGAAACTAATGCCACAGTACTTTGGACCCTGGGAAGTTCTTGATATAGTAGGAGATCAACCAGAGGACGCCTTAAACAGATCAATTTCCCTCCAGGCGATCAATGCTTCCCCCAACCATGGACGGACACGTGGACCTTGATGACATTGTTGAGCACAAGCTGATGCCTGCGCCCAAGCCTCCAGGCAGGGGACGCCTTAGGAAACTGCAGATGCAGTACCGAGTGCGGTTCAGTCATCATACTGATCCTAAAGAAGACCGGTGGTTCACAAGAGAAGAATTAATGAAGACTGCTTCCCAGATTATCTCAAGTTATGAAAGAAATTTGAAAGGGAAGCAGCCTGCTGTATAAGGACTTCTCAGGGGACTAACAAAGTAGAGGAGGAGGGAGTGCGAGGATTTTACCCCTCTACATACTGGCATAAGGCCCCTAAAGCAAATGCATGCCCGCCCTAAGTGAAGGCGGCCCCCAAAATCTCAATGAGCCCTGAATTCGTCAAGTTTTGCAAATCTTGTCGGGCGCCAGACAGTTGCCACGCGCCAGTTGATTACATCCGCCTTGCTCGTGAGAATCGGAAATATTTGTGAGCCTTCCAGGCTCTTCCAGCAACATGGTTGAAGCAGGGAACACCGTACGTTTGCACCTGGGTGGTTGGGCATGCCTAACCAATTCAATCCCAAGCCACTGTCTGAACAACGTACCTGGGCGCAGACACTTTGGCCGAGACTGAAGCTACTGGAAACTTGGGCTCATGGGGCAAGACAGTGGCAACGATCCCGCCACTTTTTATATAGGAAAGGGATGGGCTGCGTGGAAGGCATTTGGGCACTTGCTGTGCAGGCGGCAGCGCTGCTGAGTGCTCTCGGGCTGCTTGCTAGCGCTAGCGGTGGTGCTCGCTCGCATGTGCGGACGAGAGAGGGAAGAAGGGCGCTGCTGAGGGCAGCCCCATAAAGAGGCAATAAATTATCAGATTACCATCATTACCTTAAAACACATAACTTTTTAATTGCTTGTAATTTTTGTGCCCGGAGGCTCGCAAGAGTCAGTCAAGTACAAAATACAAGTAGGTCCTGCAAGTCCATTTTTAATTTAAATTCAAAATGACCCTGTGAGTTTTTTTGTCAATTAAAAAAAAATCAAATTCGTGTTTGACTGATCTACATTGCCGAAATGCGTCCATCCATAGCCGGGCTCAGTTTGGACGGCCAGCGGAGGTGGTGGTGGTCTTCGTGTATGAACAACTCTCTTTGCCCCTCTTTTTCCATGGCACAGTAACAAATTACAGCTCGTTTGAACTTTCACAAAAGCACCAAGGCTACTGCTCAGATATGGCAAATTGTGAGTGAGTAGGACGATAACCTGAATAAAGTAGGTCCTTGCCGCTGTAGCTGAAACCGTGTCCGATCAACGTCTCGCTGCAAAGCATAATGATGAAGGAAACACAAAGAGTCAGCAACCACCAGCAGTCCAAGGCGCCACTCCAATCAAATTGCCGAATCCTTTGTTCAGAATTTTAAATTGCAAGAATATCAGTCTTTCAGGACATTTGTTAAGACTGGAAGAATGCAGAAGACTACCTTCTTCACCCGAATACAACGTACAGTCATTACTGCTGTATTTAGACGGAAAGATACCCCCAAAGAAGCTATAATGACCGTACTTTGTAGTCCGGTGAAGGAAGGTAGCAAGGACCCTGGACAAGGATGAGACACATAAGTCAAAAAATGGTACATAATGCGCTCAAAATGGCACCGGTCGCAACCCAGAATAAGTCATGAAGGACTCAATGCAGGCCCAGAAACCAGAAGACAGACAAAGGTAAGCAGTCGAGAGAATGAGGATAGTTTCGTCCATAATAATCAATATTACAATTACAAGTGAAACAGCTCTTCAGTTCCCCGTTCCCCTCCAGGACCTTCGCCCACCACTCGCCACCGCAGCGTGCAATCCCTCTCCTTGATGACACTGATCGAGTATCTCTGCATGAACCCGGTAGGTGCACCCAACCTCCAGCATCACCGCTTGGCTATGGAGGCCCGTGCCTGTCTTCAGCCTCCTATAGTGAACCACAGCTTCACCAACACATAAATCAAGCTTCGCTCACTCTCGCTCTCTGTCCACACGAGTCCTGATCTACTCCTTCCTTGCCCTACCTCTATACTCATGTGGGCCTGCCACATGATGCATAGGCAACTGAGATGTGGATATGCTAA